TGAGGATCCCCGGCGTCTTCAAGCAATCATACAAAATCTGAATTATTGTAGCTTTTCTTTGCTAACACCATCAAATTCAAACGTTTTGTTTAATCTTTGCATATCTAATAAAATATTCTGATGAAAATGAAATAAAATAAATATTTACCGAGTTCGGTGTGTTCGAGATCGTAGGCTGTGATAGCCTGCAGGAATAAAAAAAAAGGTTTATTATTGAACGAATATGAATGATATGGAGTTTAAAGTCATATTTTTCTGCATCCGGTGGACGTATTGGTTACCGGATTTAGCGAATTCAGACAATATGATCCTTCCTTGTCAGTGAAAGGGCTGGAGAAATTTACGCCCTATTATCAGATATATTGAGATTGTTACTAGAACTAACTGCTAAATAAACATTCGTCCAACATAAATAAATAAATGACAAATACAACAGTAACTCAAACCTAGCCAACACCGATATCAGACACAATATATTCTTCATCATGGGTTTGTTCACCTTCACCACTTGTTCATTTTGGCAAGTTTTATATCGTTCGTTATAAAGCACCAATATGAATAAATAAAATATAGTCTTACCCCGATAAAGAGAAGTGCAGCAGCTACCCTGAGTATCATTTTGTTAGTTTATCTGTGTGTTCCGGTACCGTTGTGAGGATGAATGGATCCCAGATCCTCAATATATACCCTAACTTAATTAGTTAATTACCCTGCAGAGGCGTGAATATATCTAACAAATTCTCCTGTATTCATTTACCTTTTTTATGTATGCATATATGATAATGCCCCCGAATATGAGAAGTTTGTGGTACGCTAATTGTGCAATTATTGTATTCCTTTGCAGCCATATTAGTTTTATTGAAAAGGTCAACTTTGACTAGGACTAATTATTGAAATGGACCAAATTCAGATTTGAATTTGTACTTGTTAAAGAAATCCAAATGAGGATTGAGTTTATGAGAGTGGGAGAGTAATTATTTAAATATCATATGCAGAATTATTCACAGTGGTTAACCCATTTTCGCCCACACAGGTGACTTCAAGTTGTTGGATCACAGAATAGGAAACAAGATCTTAAGAACCCTAAAAACATACTGCCCAATTCTTGTCCATTGTTAGTTCCTTGCACTTGATGAACACATCTCCAATTCATTTGAATGATAATGTTAGTTTTTAGTAGACTCATTATCCACAATACTGAATAAAATTATTATCAACTTAAATTGATATTTTCTCAGTTAATTTTGATACTATAGGAATTTTAGGCGTCTGAAAGCGAATAGGAATGTGTTGGAGCCCAGAAATTTTTTTTTAAATCTTTAAAATACGTCAGCATATTTCTGATTTATAACAGA